ATGTAACAATGAAATGTCGTCCAATTGAGTACTCACTCTCTTAAACTTTAAATCTTGAAATAAATTATTTGTTTGTGCGTGCGTGTGAACATGATTTAGTGTGGTGAATGTAAACTCAGCTGATTTCGAACAGGTATGATGTATTCCAAAGAATTTAACCTAAATACAGGAAATGTGTGCAATAAAAGTAGACTTGTGCAGACATTCACTGACCCCATGACAGAAGTGTACCATCTTTCACTTCTTTCAACTTGCTGCTTCAGAGAGAGCAGTCATCAATATTTTTGTTACATGATGAGGTGGGATTGGATTTTGCAGTTTTTTTTCCATTCTGTGTTTCTTGCTGATATCTGCAGGGATCCTCTAAAACAGGTTTCACCTACTATTTTTGTAAATGTCTGTTATAGATGGTGAAATTCGTACGCAAGCTATGTTCCAAGTTTATGGTTCCAGCAGCTCTGCAGTGCCATGAGGAGCCTTTTGAAATTGCCTTTAAAGAAAAGGCAAACCATTTACCAGGTTAGTATTTGACTATTATTATGATCAAACACTGTGATATGTGATATTTAGCCTTGTACCTTATACCGATATGCTGTATCTGTGACAGGAAGAAAGTTGAACATTAGGTTCACAACCAGGGCTAAATTGAACATCACACCACAGCAGGTGGATTCCTGACAAGTGCTGTGGACTATGCACTTAAGAAGCTGCCACTGGAAGAGCCACTGATCAAGCACGCACAATTTGTAGATGTACGGCAAAGGGCTGAAAGTGACATCGAAGATGTCCTGTACTTTGTTGAAAGGTTAGTTTTTTTTCTCTATTTATTGTCTGTTATCTTAGCTAAAATACCCTGTGTTTTATGATGAGGTGTGTTCACTCCTAAACTGCACATTAGATATTCTTATGTGGCTTCTCCTCAAAGATGTGTATGAACTGCTGCTGGTTGATGACTATATACCTAAAACGTAACAACTTGTAACTCTACTTTCATAAATAGGTTTCCCCATCTCCTCCCATACCATGGGCCAGAGGAGCAAGACCTTCTGGGTGAGGAGTTTCTAAATTATCAGACCATGCCAATGATATCCCTGCAGGACGAAACTGAAATGGAAAGCTTCTGGGCTGAAATGGCAACCCGGAAGCATAAGGTAAACATTTTTTGTCTTTCCTTTTGGCAGGTGTGGCTTGGCTACATCTGTTGCTTAAAATTGTTGCATGCATATGTGTCATGCATGTTGCAAATTATGCATGTTTTTATCTGAACTTTGTTAATGGATCAACCTACAGTATACTTATAGTATTAATCAATCAAAAATCAAGGTATGTTTTTCCATTGTGTTTTGGAGCCAAAGAATTCGAGAGGCTTGCTGCCGTCGCCAAGCTTGTCCTGGTGTTGTCCCATGCAAACGCAGATGCTGAGAGGGTGTTTTCAGTTGTGGGACTGAACAAAACGAAGAGAAGAAACAGCCTAGCATTGGATGGCACCCTGTCCTCAATAATGACCATAAAGATGGCCAATCTGGAGCCCTGCTTCAAATGGGAGCCCCCCTCCGATATCATCAAGGCCTCCAAGAAGGCCACAGGCCAGTATAACCATGCCGACAGATCATAGACAAGAGGCTCATTTGAGAGGAGCCAGGTCTGCGCAGAATCGATCACCGGCGATCACCGCCCAATGCATGCTGGTTAGATTTTTGTCCGACTTGATCCCGACTTTCTCTGACGTCATGCACACGTGGGCAACGATAACCTCATGAGATCAAGGCGGCCGCAGTTCTGAGACGCAGGCAGTGCAATTGCTTTTTACCGACTGCAGGACCCAGGCGGACCCAGGACAAAATCTTTTTGAAAAGGTTTTTTGAAAAGTTGGCAGGTAAGTATTTTGTACACTCAGTGTAAAGACAGTATGGACCACAGGAGGTTGGTGGCACCTTAATTGGGGAGAACGGGCTAGTGGTAATAATTGGAGCGGAATGTAAACAAATATATCAAACACATGGTTTCCAGGTGTTCGATGCCAATCCATTTGCTCCGTTCCAGACATTATTGTGACCCGTTCTGCACTCAGCAGCCTCCTGTGGTATGGACAGTATATGAATAGAAAAGGTGTACAGCAGTAGCTAAATAGGATGAGCCATGACTAGAATACAGTATACTGTATACATATAAAGTGGGTAAAACAGTATGTAAAAATTATTATAGTGACCAGTGTTCAATGACTCTATGCACTTAGGGCAGGGCAGAGTACCAGGTGGTAGCCGTCTAGAACAATGAGTAAGGTTCAGGGCAGGGTACTGGGCGGAGTACGGCTAGTGGTGACTGTTTAACAGTCTGATGGCCTGGAAGTAGAAGCTGTTTTTCCAGTCTCTCGGTCCCAGCTTTGATGCACCTGTACTGTCTCCGCCTTCTAGATGGTAGTGGGGTGAACAGGCTGTGGCTCGCTGAGGTCCTTGATTATCTTTTTGGCCTTCCTGTGACTTTGGGTGCTGTAGATGTCCTGGAGGGCAGGCAGTGTGCCCCTGGTGATGCGTTGGGCTGACCGCACCACCCTCTGGAGAGCCCTGCGGTTGCGGGCCGTGTAATTGTCCTACCAGGCGGTGATACTGCCCGACAGGATGCTGTTAATGGTCCATCTGTAGAAGTTCGTGAGTGTCTTTAATGAGCAAAACATCTCTTAAAGTTATATGCTGAACCACACTACTGACATTTTACCATATTCTTTAGGTCAGCATTTCTAAAACTCAAATCTAGAGACCACAAGGGTTGCACATTTTGTTTTTTACTTAATTTCACAGCTGATTCAAATAATCAAAGCTTGATAATGAGTTGATTATTTTAATCAGTTGTGTAGTCGTGCTTAGGCAAAACCCCAAAATGTACACCCTTTGGGGTCCCAAGGACCGAGTTTGGGAAACACTGCTATAGGTCCTTGGACGAGTCAGCAGTCAGATCATACTTGACACAAAGATTATCCCAATAAATGGAGAGAGCCAACACATCTGATGCCACCTTTGTGGATTGTAATATGTCGACAGGCACAGAATACAGATCCACAAGCACTTTTTGAATGCGCAAATGCACGTTCCACAGTTGTAAATGTTAGGGATTTCTGAACAGTTGCTCACAAATCATTCTACATTTGTTGAAATTGTAGTTTTATTTGTACGTTATGTTGAATCGTGAATTTTGTTGAATATACACACAGATCCTGGTAGACATACTTACAGAATAAATAAACAAATCTCACTCCATACAGGTCAGACAAAAAAACATCCTTTCTGATGAACCGCACTCCAACAATAAACTGATGTTCATTTCAAACTTTTAGCACCATTAATCTTTATCACCGTCGTCCACTCATTCTTATCAACAGAATAAAAAAACATTGCTGATGCCATTGCCCCGGCTTGGGTCGTTCACCCCGCTTTGTTGGGATTGTATTGTTTTCTAGCAAAAGACCCACGTTTTCATTACAAAAACAAGGAAACAGGAATGAGAAATATGTATTTTCAAAAATGTATTTATGGACATGTACAATGTATTATGTTACAAGAAAGCTTATATGGACATTTATTTGACTTTAACATATAGTAAGTTGCTTTCACGTCTCTGACATTCACTCATAACACTGAGTGAGCTATATAGGAAAGACAATGTGCAGAAAGAGGTGATCTGAATAACCAGGAAGCCTGGGTTTTGATGAGGATGAAAACATATGCCTACTACAAACTAACATCCATGGCATATTATGAGCCATGCAGGCCATTTGGGTTAACTATATATATTTACCCATACTCTCATTACTGGAATTAGACAAAATCTTCAGGAAAGCTTACTAGTCAGTACCTTCAAAGCATTAAATGCAATACAACTTTTATCAACAGGTTTTGCAGCAGTATTTGGTTTGAATTAATTACACAGGTATTAACAGGGATAGTGTCACACCATAGCAGACAGATATGTGATGGTGAGGAGCTTCATGGGGTGTGTCTATTGGAGACTGTGCATTGTGGGCAGAATCTTGAGAACTGTGTGAGAAACTGGATTTTGAGTACAAATCCTCAATTTATATCAATGCATGATTCATGCAGGGGTTACTTGAGTTACTTGAGCAGATCACAGGTTTGGCCCTGTATGAAGTAACATGGGCCAACCTGCAAATATTCATATTGAAATATAATGTCTTCTTATTTTACGAAATGTAACAAACTTAGAAAAAATACATACATTTTAAACACTGGAATATATTTAAATACCGTAAAACTTCAATTAAACACTGAGTCTCAAATAGTCACCTGTCCCTTTTAATAGCAGGGCAATGGCACATATTTCAGCAAATAAAAGCCTGTTTCAAATAAACGCTGGGTTTAAATTGAATTGTTTGAGGTTACCATGAATTACCATGAATTAGTTACGAGGTTTAATGTTGGATTTGTTACATTACATAATTCTGTAATGACTTTAAAAAATGGTAATCATCTATTTTTATCGCGGGTAAGAAACTGCTAGTCATTGGCTGCTAACAGCTGAGAACTGCTAGCTAACTGGCAAGCACAAAAACAGTCAACAACTTCAGGAGTATAGACCCCCAGAAATTGTTTGATTGCCCTCTAGTGGCGAAAGTAAGATCTGCCGAAAATGCACAGTCAAAGAGGAGAATATTTATTCTGTCAAGGAAAAGTTTTTCACACCCAAATAGAGGCATACTAAGACAACAAAAAACGTGACAGTGTGTAAATGATAACACAGTGCAGGAAATTAAAAAACGGATTAAAATGATGGAAGTGAATGCTGTAATTAAACAATAACTATGCAAATGAGTAAAAGCTGTATTAGCTGCATTAAGGAAATAGATGCCGGTCTCTAATAAAGCACCTGTTGTGTTCAGTGATTTAAGCAAATAAACGCCCGGGCTATTAATTGAAGTTTTCGGTAAGCTGGTTGAGAGTTACTGTGGATGTGTAGGCAGACCTACACATTCATTTGGACACAGGAACTCAACAGGTGGTTTGTAAAGCCGTCGACCACTCCCTCCCTGTCTGAACGGGGTGTACCGCAGCCATTTCTTCACCACGTCTGCAAACTGGTGATGTGTGGCCTCTTTGCCCACTGGGGTTCTTTTCAGAGCACCTATAGTAATAGAGAAGTAGTGAGGTCAGTGCTGCATCCAAATGTCTCTTTTTGTCTATATGGAGACTGATCAGATTCCTTCGCATTATCCATCCATCCATCTATCCATGCATCCCCCCCTCCCGGTATGTGTAAGGTATGATAGTAGGGCCCTATAAAATTTGCATTGTGGAGAATATGGATGGAATCCAGACACAAAAAATTCAACAATATTTAAAAAATGTATTGAACTTTGTAGGAAATCAACAAAATGTATTGAATTTATTAGAACATTCATTAATTTCACCAATATTATCATAAGACATTAATAAAATGATTCAGTGATTCGTATTTTTTCTACTTTCTGACGAGGCAACGGCACAGGAATGCCCCCGTCTGTGTGTGCGCATTTGTCTATCACTTTGTGTAGCCGTTAGTGATCATGCTAATGTAATGACTACCGTCTTCTGATAGATGCAAAGGCTTTCCCAAAAACGTTCTCAATTAAAATGTTAACTACAAAGTAGCCTATGCATATCTGGCAGAATGATATAATGACTATTTGCAACAATCCAGTTGCCATTTGTTTTGCAACTCTGCAATCACGAGCGCTACAGAAATGTAGCTAACCAAACAACGGACTCTTGCTGGCGCTCACTTGCATTAAAAGGGTAACTACACCCAAAAATCTAAATTTCATCTATTTTTCCCAGACTTCAAAAGTGGTCTCCTGATGTGGTTTAAGCATTGTTGTGGACTGAGAACATCCAATTGTTTAAAATATATATATCTCAATTGTGATTTTGAGAGTGAAAACCTGAAAAAAATTCTAACAACTGAAACCTGAAAAAACAGAGAAAAGTGCATTTGTGAAAAAACTAAAACGGAATCAGGCAAAATATATATACATTTTATAGAGCCCTAGGTATGGTACCGACACTTACGGAAGAGAACCCCTTGGAGGCGGGTGTTTCTGAAGCTCCTTTTCTGGCCGCGGCCCACCCAGTTGAGCTCAGAGCCCACAGCGAAAGTTAGCACTGCCTGCAAGAGCCTTCGCACTGCATCATCCACCGTGGCCCCGCCCATCCGTGACAGGTGAGACACCTGTCATAGATACACACCATTAATAACACAATCACTTACCATTATGTAACACTATTATACCACAGTAGGTAGTGTGCTTGTCGCTGGTTTAAGCCCTATTGGGTCACTGTCCACCTACCATTCTCTTCTGTGCTCCGGCATCCTCCAGGTGCCTCTCTGTGTCATCTAGCTGCTCCAAGGTCCTCAGAGGGATGTCAATGTCTAGAGCCTCCACCTCCTCCTCTACCTCTGGAAAGCTCTGGCCCTGAACCCTGGCCTGCAGCTCCCTCAACACTGCCCACTGTCTCTGCTGCTCCTCCTTGATCTCCACCAGCAAGGAGATGATCTTACGCTGGGCAGCAGTCTCTGAGGAACAGTGGATAGGAACGGATTTGGGATGACACCAGGGTCAAGGTAGGGGCCCAAAAAAGTTTTGTTGGTCAGTTTGTTGATTTGTCATATTGTGTCACATTTTAGAACAGTAACAGGCCTGGTGTAGTTAGTCATTTCCCCCCATCATTCTAAAACAGAGTAAGTGTCATTGGCTACTGTAACTAACTCTTCAGCCAACTTTTTGTTGTTGCTACGACTAGACGCTGGGAAATGCTAGATGTGCAGCATTTAATGGCGAGGAACCTCTGCGCGGTTCAAAACATGGATTTACTATCTTTCAGAGTTCTCAGGCGTTTGTAGAACCAATTGCAACTGGACACAGACATTTATAAGACTAATGTTTTCCAGAATCAAAAACTAAGAGAGTATCGCCAATACCAGATTAGTTGAAAACTCTATGGCGACGTTTTGTATAGGCAAACCTGTAACGTCCAGTCCTCGACATATTTGGTTATATCACATTCTGGCGTACAAACTAGCAATTAAAACATTTAGCCTGAGAGCGATTTTACTACTCCTGCGAATCTGATTGGTCACACAGCTGAATAATTCATGTAATTCTTAGTTTTTTTCACTGCTTGTTACTTCCAAGTAGGCTAGATACAAAACAAAGTGAGGAATTCACTAATATTAGAACCACAGTTAATCAGGGTAAAACGTTACCTGCTGATGATGAGGTGGCTGGCATCAACAACTTTTCCCCAACACCACCCGTGCTAAACGTCGCACTCAGCGACTCAACGTCAAAGCTGACATCAGGTCGTCTTGAAATATCATCTTTGGGAATATCCTCCGAGCGTCTCGAGACATGTTCCGCAAGATTGTTCATTTCGTCGGACACAGCTGAAAGTCTCTGCTGGAGTGTTTCTAGAGCTATGTCTGCCATGTGTTTGTTGACCAATCCTTCCATTCGTCGCTGCATCGCCCAGCTAGAAGTATCTCCATTATTATGCTCCATAAAATTCCTCAAGCAGTCGACCTCCTAAACGTTAGTTTAAACCAACAAAAACCTTTCTACAATGTCTTCCTATCTTTCAAGGTATACGCAAATGAGGACTAGTGAGGGAAAAAAACGGAAGTGGTTATCAAACAGTCCATAGCAAGCGCACGATATCACGTTGCAACAACGTCACAGTAATGTTGCGAGAACATTGAGGGGGTTCGATTAATCTCGCCCGGGCTTCCGTTTAGGCGTGTTTTGCAGCGATTGAAAGTTGATTGCATTCGATTTGGAACCGGGTGGCAAGGTGCCCCAGTCGGATCATGTAATTAAGCTCGTGTAGTAATGAGTAGGATTCTGTGTTTTCCTATTCAAAAGTGATTGCTTTAATAAAAACGCTTTATAAGCATTCCCAATGAAAACTAGTTTGAAAATTCAAACATCTATTTAATAATTATAATAATACTTGTATGTTTCTGGACAATGCACCATGCTGCCTTGTTGACAACATGACCAAGCTCGGCAGATTACTGTTCAATTTGAGAAGGCCTGATGATGTGACGGGCCATAGCTTGTTTTGATTTGAAAAAATAAAATAAAAAATAAAGTTGGTGTACCCCGGGCCAGATTAATCGAACCCCCTCGTTGGGAAGGCCAGAAGAACTACATTTCCCAGTAGCACCAACAATACAGTCGTTTCCTACGCGTTGACTGCATATTTTGCCCCGTTCACAACAACTGAGAACTGGGAACTTGGAAATCTCCGACTTCCGACTTCAGTGCGTTCAAGACAACTGGGAACTCTGAAAAAAATGAGCTCCTACTGGGAAAAGTTGTCTTGAACGGTCATCCAACTCGGAATTTCAAGTCGGGAAATCGGGCCTCTTTCTAGAGCTCCGCCTTTCCGACCTGAAAATCACTGACGTCATGACCTTTTTTTTTTTCTCCAGATTTCCCAGTTGTCTTGAAATCACCATTATCCCCACAGAAGCCTTTTTCCAATATGGCCGCCAAACAACTCAACAACTTATTGGATTTATTTTGCATGACCATACCTTTATGAAATATAATTGTAGTATTCCCAATAATATCTTAAAATATTCATAGTGATGTAGAATACACAACTAAATAAGCCAGGTGTGCCAGATATAAAGATGTGGTCCTCTGTAGCTCAATTGGTAGAGCATGGCGCTTGTAACGCCAGGGTAGTGGGTTTGATCCCCGGGACCACCCGTACGTAAAAATGTAGGCGCACATGACTGTAAGTCGCTTTGGATAAAAGCTTATGCTAAATGGCATATTATATTATATTATTATTCAATTATTCACAGAATTGTGGTAAGAATGTGTCCAAAATGCTGTCTATATCTCTGATTTCTGAAGATGTCATGATCAATAGTTGCAATATTCCATCTTCAAACATGTGAAATGGATATGTACAAGTGAATAGTCATGGATGTGAGCTGATAAAATGAAATACAATGTTATCCTATTAACTGTTTTCATAAAACAGAGGACTAGAAACTTGTAAAATTCCAGAAGAATGCCAATAAGTTTTAACCTAATATCTTAATGATGAGAGCAGCAAACCATTACACATAGTTAGTCTTATTTAAGATCTATTTTTACTATGGGGCCAGTTACTAGAATACTAAAAGTAGTATAATTGGCCTCAACAGTCCCAACATTGGATTTTACTACATTGTAATGGAATGTACGGGGCAGGTTTATAGTCAACATGATGAAAACAGTTAAAGGATAACATTGCTTATAATTTTAATCAGCCCACATCCATGACTATTTAAATGTATAAATGCATTTAACATGTTTTGTGTGAATAATCATTTTTACATATCTGGCACACCTGGCTCATTTGGTTGTGTATTCTACATCACTATGAACATTTTAAGATATCATTGAGTATACTACGATTATATTTCATACAGGTATGGTCATGCGAAATTGATCCAATAAGACGCCATTGAGTTGTTTGGTGGCAATATTGGAAAAAGGCTTCTGTGGGGTTAATATGTGTATCCTGTGATGGCCCTGTATCTACAAATCTTTTTAAAATCCTGTTCTAGCAGTGTGTGAAATGTGGTGCCTCGATCACCAAAGTTACAATCCAAAAACATAGCTGCCCCACTACATGGAATTCTATGGTTAAGTTACACTACATGACCAAAAGTATGTGGACATCTGCTCGTTGAAAATCTCATTCCAAAATCATGGGCATTAATATGGAGTTGGTTCCCCTTTTGCTGCTATAACAGCCTCCACTCTTCTGGGAAGGCTTTCCACTAGATGTTGGAACATTGCTGTGGGACTTGCTTCCATTTAGCCACAAGAGCATTAGTGAGGTCGGGCACTGATGTTGGGTGATTAGGCCTGGCTCGCAGTCGGCATTCCAATTCATCCCAAAGGAGTTCAATGGGGTTAAGGTCAGGGCTCTGTGCAGACCAGTCAAGTTCTTCCACACTGATCTTGACAAACCATTTCTGTATGGACCTCGCTTTGTGCACAGGGGCATTGTCATGCTGAAACAGGACAGGGCCTTCCCCAAACTGTTGCCACAAAGTTGGAAGCACAGAATCGTCTAGAATGTAATTGTATGCTGTAGCGTTAAGATTTCCCTTCACTGGAACTAAGGTGTCCACGTACTTTTGTATATATAGTGTACCAACATTCTATTGTCAATGGCACAATTTGCTATTTTTAAACAATAGTTGTAGTTGGTTATATTATATATAATTTGAAAGGTAATTTCCTGACCTTTCAGAACCACTTGTCAAACAGAGGTTAAAATGTATCAGGGTTTCCTTTTTTAAACGATTTATATAGGTAATTCTGAGATGTACTCTAGAGGTCAAATTACAGAAATGTATCTGATTGATAGCTGTGAATCTAAGCTTTCCAATGATATATCAATAAAGGGTATACGTGAGCAATAACTTGTATATTGACATTGTTTGTCATAGGTAAAATCCCTATGGGAAAAATGATGGGACTATCACACATTTTCCAACTCTAGGGACATAGACCTTCAAGAAAATCACTATGAGATATCGTCGGCCCAAGTGAGCCCGACTGACCCCCCTGGCTTGGACTAGTTGATGCAACGTTCTATAATGTTTTCACATAGCTCTGATGGAATGTAAAAAAGAAAATAATATGCCAGCTGTGAGTGATTATTTGGGGGAACAACATCTACTTGAGTGTGGGAATAGCCTGCAACATACTTTTCTGCATTTTGAGAGTGATAGCATTTTTGCAGACCAGAGTGATGGTCACTACTTTGTGCTAATTTGTCCAGTGTGTGCTCCAAAAGTTGTGAATGTCCCAGATGATGCCCCAAAAACACTGTACACAATATAGAGGCAGTATGTATTGTGAAATTATAAACCGGGTGATTCGAGCCCTGAAGGCTGATTGTCTGACAGCCAAGGTATATCAGACCATATACCATGGGTATGACAAAAAAATAATATGTACTGGTCTAATTACGTTGGTAACCAGTTTATAATAGCAATAAGGCACCTTGGGGGTTTGTGGTATATGGCCAATATACCATCGGGGGTTTGTGGTATATGGCCAATATACCACAGCTACGAGCTATATCCAGGCACTCTGCGTTGTGCCTAAGAACAGCCCTTAGCCGTGGCATTTTGGCCATATACCACACCTCCTCAGGCCTTATTGCTTAATTAGACATCAGATAATTGACTCATGAAAATACCGTTTTAGTGAGTTTCTCTCTGTCCCTTTCTCTGTCACATCTAAAAGGTAATTAATGGATTTAGTTAAAGAACAGATTTTCTGTGGATACAAAAGCAACACAAGGGTACATGCATTACCTTAAGCAAATATTACTTTATTTATGCTCAAGTAGCAACATTATTCTAAACATCTGAAACATTAGAACACAAAGTAAACCATTCTGTCTAGATCTCCCTGTTCAGGAGGCATAACTCGGGCGATTTGGTTAACATTACGTCATCAAACTCAGCAATCCTATCAGCAACAATGCAGTCATCTAGGAAGTCCAGTTTAACAGCTGCGTCTAGTGCCATCTTTGATATATATATATATATAAAACTATGATTCAATTACATTATAATTACCATAAATAATGTATTATATTAAAATATATCCATGCGAGTTAACAAAGGACACAGTGATATCAATAAAATCTAAAACACAACAAAACAAGGACTAAGGAGGGTACCAAGGGGGACATAGGATCACATCTATGAAAATATATTCAACAGATATACAGATGAAGACTAAATATATAAATACATTTACATGTATGTATATCTATGTACATCAGCAATATATCACCATGTTTATATCACAAATTATTAAAATATTCCTTTCTTCAAGACAGCTCATCTGCAGATAAGAGTCTTGGCAATAGTTTGGTTAATTTCAAGCACATGATCGTATAGTACCTGTTTTTAGAACATAATCCTCATCAAATGTACTGTAGAAGCGGTACTACAGGGACACATTAACACATGACATCTGACCATATTGTCCATGCTATTATGCCCAATGATGAATATGTCACTGGTTAATATTTCAGTTACAATAGATGTGCCACTGAAAGTTTTCCCAACATAAATACCTGTATATTGAATGCTGCATGGGGACATTTGTATGATATTTGCCAAAAAAGAGAGTTGGGAGCCTTTGACTTATAGGCTGGTAGATATTAAGAGAAGTCCCATTTTCAGAACAAGCTTCCAGTGCAGATTTCTGTAAACCATTTAGCCTTAGCCTGTCCTAAAATATAGATTTTCCTCTATTGACAGAAGGATGTACTACTGTGTACGTACTATCTAGAAAACTGCCATACGTGCCTTCAATCAAACAAAAAGAAACACCATATTTACATTGTAAAGCTCATAATTATTGCATTATAAATAATTTGACATTTTAACGATAAACCCTGTTTTCCTTTGACATTACAGAGTTTTGCTCTGTCTATACTAATCTCCCAAGACAAATAAATATGATATGAACAAAAACAAACAAACATCCTTTAAAAATAAATGCAACCCTAAGACTTTGTACATTCTGAGACTTTTTTCATTATAATTTATGCATTTGAGATGTTGTGCTATTGGTCCATGAAATTAGTATTCACAAGATAAGTAATTCAGAGTTATTTGCATTCATGAAATAAATCCATCAGGTGAAACATCTCAATGTTTTAACAGTGTTTTAACAGTGTTCCCCCTCCTTTCAGGAGAGGATAGAGAGATAAATATAATACTTTCTGAGGGGCCAATGTAATTATGGTGCTTTGCTGGTTGGCTTGACTTGAGCAACAGTGTCTCAGAATCCCCTGCTGGTCGACAGATGATGTCTGATATGTTCCCTTTAAACTAAAGGCGTAAAGGTCATATGTATTGATTTAAATGTAGCACAACCTACCACTTGGAGGAATCTAAACATTGTGCATTACAAAACACAAATTACCGCAGCCCAACCAACATCAGGTCAGGTCAAATTTCAGATGCTTTATTTAAAGTGCATCTCTACCATAGAGATAGATCGAGGACTCATCTTTGTATCTGTGCTATTATAGCGTCTGTGACAGCATGGGCAACGCCATTGAGGGTATGTCCATTTTGAAGTAGTACATTTTCTTCTTCACGATTGGCTGATCCCTCCTGATGACCCGGTTGGACATGATGCCAACAGGGTCACCAGGAGGCATCAGCCAATGAAGTTGGAAGTCCCACCCAGTTGACTATATTAAAATGGTGGAAGCCCTCAATGGCGCTGCCCATGCCAATACAGCCTTTTGGTCACTAGAGGCCTCTATCATTCTCTATGATCTCTACCCCTATGAATAATGTCACTGGGAGTGATTAGTACAGATATGTCTAATTTCCTCTGTGTGCCAGCAGAACAGAAAATCCATCCTTTAAACAAGAAGTCCTTCCAGGCAATGTACATTTGGTAAAAGTTACTTTGAATAAGAGATAGTCCGTAGGAATCCAATATTGTGATATAGTTCATAGTTGTGCCCCTAGGTGGCAGCACAGCTCATTCTCTTGAGCTACATGAGTGGAAAAAAGGAGTTCACTGTTTTTCACAAACGCTTGCTTCATTTTACCAGGAGATTGTCCTAACAATCAGCAAGTAGGGACACTCATGGTCATTGAAACAGAGACCGTCTCCCACTTTGGATAGGTACCACATATAATATACCTCAGTGCAAATACAGTCTCATTGAAGAGGTTTGACTTTGCTAAGGAAAAATACATTTTCTTCCATAAATTGTTATCATCTCAATCAAGTCCATCATAAAGTAAATGTTCAGAATAACTTAAGTAGAAATTACTCTCTTGCAAGAGTCAAAAGAGTGTTGAAAGGATGTTTTTCCTAAAAGTGACTTTAGACTGGAGTCTCACAACATACCAGGGAGTATTGGTGTCGCTATACTCTGCAGACAGTATCTCCTAAATTAACAAATCTTTGAGACCAATGTGGATTGGGTTGGATTTAAAATGCACCCTCCCCCCCATAAATAATGTTCAATAAATAAATTAATAAAATATCTGTCTGGGTGTATTTACAAAGGGAAAACATTTACAAAACCCCTAAATCAACACATTTCATTACCCTCTTATCCTTTAGAGATACCTTTCACTTTCCACATTACAGCATATCTGACCTCATATTGCTGTTGCCTATTCCAACCAAATGTACTCAATTTATCCTGTCCCCTCCTGAAATGGACCCAAAAGGGCCAGATTCAATAAAAGCTGCTTTAGCAATGTTTATAAAGTATCTTTGTGTACATACTGCTGCTCAACAACAGTGTGTGTATGTGTGTGTGTGTGTGTGTGTGTGTGTGTGTATATAGAGGGGGTTGGGGGGGGGTAATGCCCGCAGATCATGATGAGAAGTCTGGGTTGTCATTCAGCAATATGTCCTCCGTCAACTATTTACATCAAGTCACCTGGTGCTTTCACCTTAAATGATTTCCATTGTCATGATCAACCGTAAGAATCATTGCTAATATTGTTCAAAGAACAACACTATTCCAGTAGACTATCAATATTCTTCAGACTGGCTTTCCTCTAAGCCAGATAGCAGCTATTAAACACATTACATTATAAAATATAATCAAGATCACACTGTAGAATAACGCAGTTTCAATCACCTTTACAAACAATTCAAAACAAAAACAATCTTCATATCAAAGCAGGCAGTAGTCGACAAAAATAGCTTTGTTCACGAGCCCTCGTGAGAGAGCTTTTTACAAGTCAGTTTGTGCTCCTGCATGTGTGTGCCCAATCATATCCTCTCCTGTTAAAACACACACACACACACACACACACACACACCAGGGCTGCTCCATATTGCACTGACCATGAAGAAAATAATGAAATTCAAAAACGGATGCTTTGAATAAGACAAAATGATCTGAGGCGCAGACAGACAGGGGACGACAGGGAGGAGAAAGAGCCTCAGCGGTCTCTGCAGGTGGGCAGGTTGACGAAGGTGAAGATGTTGTACTCTATGAGGATGGAGAAGCAGAGAAAGATGGAGTACATGAACAGACACACCAGGCCCAGACGACGGTCCAGTTTCCACCCATTCAGATGTACCCCCAGGACCTGAGAGCGAGAGGTGGGAAGAGATGAAGAAATTATATCTATAGTTGCTCTATTCAAACTCAATTGTGCATAGACTGTGTAAAAATACAAAACACAAGTATATTTTATTATTTAAAAAAGTTCTAAAGAGTCACTCACTGTGAGGAACACAGACCCCAACAGAAGTCCCACAGAGAAGATGAGCCCTTTGCTGTTCAATTGAATCTAATAGAAGAAAGGGTTCAACAGGAGAAGAAGTTAAACCATGGGGTTGGGAACTGATTTACAACACTTTCGCACCAGTGTAAAGTGTACACCTGCTATTTCCAGAAGAGTATAATAGTTTCAAAAACACCACCAAACTGATGCATTACAAGCCTGCCATCTCTTTTGAATTCGGGCCCATTTGAAATGAATACAGTATATCAGCTGTACTCTGTGTATCTTATTCTACACCCACGATACACAGCTCAATTCTCTAACGCACAGTCAAAGCCTTCATTGAGAATAATCATGTTACACTCCACACTCCAAAAGCAGCAAAGCTTGTCTGTGTGCTCCTGGGAACAGATGTATGTAGGCATTCCTTCACAGCCACAGCACCCCCACATGTGTGTTTGATCTAGTGGGGTTATGGCACACTGGGCTACAGGTGCACTCAGCGCTATATTTCGCTTGGACTGCTGACAGCTACTTTTCTTCTCCCTCTTTCAGCTGTTAGGACCATCTCTCTCTCATGTCAAGCTGGAAGATATGTTTATCTACAGAGATCACAAATAACACACGCTCCAATGGCTATGTTAGCATGGCATGACTAATATTGTACATAAACATACATAACATTGGTACCATTTGACATGAGCAGAGAGGGCTCTGGACAGAAGATCAATTGTGTCATCTCTCACATGATAAAGCAACATCAATATTACCTTCTCGGAATAGGCCTAGCATGTATACGTGTCAAAGGGGTTGCTCATGTCAGTTTTTATTGTGTATTGCTTATAGAGGTTTACTAAAAGACCTTACACAGTCAGGGTTAGGAGAAACTGTGTTTGTTACTTACGTAGGAGCCGTAGTTGATGGCCAGGGTCTGCAGGGCCCAGGGTAGGCCCAGTCCAATAAGGATATCAAACACATTACTGCCTATAGAGTTAGACACAGCCATGTCCCCAAGACCTGAGAGAGAGAGAGAGAGACAGGGAGAACGAAAAAGGGAGAAGAGGCAGAGGCAGAGAAAGAGAGAAAGAGAAATCAAAAGGCAGAAGGAGGGAGGGAGAGGGAGAGGGAGACAAAGAGATAGAGAGAGAGAGAGAGAGAGAGAGAGGAGGAGGGAGGGAGGGAGGCAGAGCGAGAGAGAGGAGGGAGGGAGGGAGGCAGAGAGAGAGAGAGAGAGAGGGAGGCAGAGAGAGAGAGATAGGGAGGCAGAGAGAGAGAGAGATGTTGGTCAACATCTGTAACATCAATAAAAAATTCAGACTTGCTGAGGTATTCAGGTCGCCACAAACAACAAACACAACAACAACAAACAGACTGTCAGGGAATGTGTTTCCCATTTCCCCCTCTCAGACAGACTCTGATGAATATTTGATAGGGGGAGTGAGAATAAACACAGATCAAAAAAATGGAGGAAGGAACCACACTGTGTTCTCTTCCATCACTCCCACACGACTCAGTCACAGAGCCAGCCCGACAGATGACAAGCTTTGCCTCCTCCCTTCTCTCCACCCTCTCTCTGTTGACCATGTACACAGACAGTATGGAGCTCTTTGATTCCTGGGTGTCGGTTCATGGGGCAGGTGAGCAGCAATGCAAACAGCCCTGGTAGTGTGTGTCCTCACCTTGACGTGCCACTATAAGACTGGCCATGCAGTCAGGTACACTGGTGCCAGCTGCCAGGAAGGTGATGCCCATGATAACATCAGGGATACCCAGAGTAAACCCGATCACTGTCACCTGAAGGGAAGAGACACACATCAGTGAGTGTCTGTCTGTGTGTGTGTGTGTGTGTGTGTCTGTGTGTGTATGTGCACGTGTGTGTGTCCTCACCATCCAGACCATGACATAGGAAAAGCCAGCAATCCAGAGGGTGGAAGTGACGAAGGAGACCATGAACCATCTCTCCCAGCGAGGGTTGGCACAGTTAGGCACCGTGAAGAACAACAGCAGGCACAGAGGCCAGGCTAATAGCCACTTGATCTTATTACAGCACCCAGCTAGAGAGAGAGAAAGAGAGAAAGAGAAAGAGAGGAAGAAGAGATGTATGGTTTCAATTTGTGTTCATTGCTGGGCTTACATTAAGTGATGCTTTTATTGAGGAAATCTAAAAATACCTTTCGGTGAGTGTGAATGTGGTTGACCAACACAATAAAGAGAGCTCAGAGAGACTGAGAATTGTTTGAAACCCTGTAATGATATTAAAAAAATTATACCTGGGGCGTGAAAGGGCACGAAAGGTCCCTCCCCTTCCTCCTCCCCTTCCTCCTCCTCCTCTTCCTCATCATTCTCATTGTTTTCCGTCTCGTTGCCAGACTCCACCCCTCCCCTGTCGTCCTCTCCATGGTGACCACGGCGGCCATTGACACCCCTTTCTGGCCCGCCCAGTCCATTCTCCAGGCCCCGCCTACCGCCGACTTTCACCGTGACCTCCGAGTCTCCGTTAGTGAACGGCCGGGTGCTAATCAAACGCTGCCTCTGCACAAATGCATACACACGTCATAGCTAGGGCCCTGTGTTTTGGTTAATCATGTCACATGACCTGGATTTTAAACTTTATTTAAAGCTTTTTCATCAAACTGTCCCCTCTTCTTTTTATGTCAGATAGATGCTTTCATTTCTGGTCTAATTCTAATTTCTGGAAAAGGCTTAAAATAAAGTTTAAAATCCATGTCATATGACATGACTAACCAAAACACAGGCCTATAGTCATAGCCTATCCAATACAAACACATGCCATATGTTGTACAAACATCAGAATAAGTATGCTGTAAGAATATAATTTATTCATACCCACACAGCAAACAGAAACACCCACGTGTGCAGAAGGCTATGGCAAAGCGTGTGTGTGTTTGTGTCTGTGTGGTCCTACCTCAGTAATGAGCATGCGTGAGGCCATGGTGAGGCGTGTGTGTGTTTGTGTCTGTGTGGTCCTACCTCAGTAATGAGCATGCGTGAGGCCATGGTGAGGCGTGTGTGTGTTTGTGTCTGTGTGGTCCTACCTCAGTAATGAGCACGCGTGAGGCCATGGTGAGGCGTGTGTGTGTTTGTGTCTGTGTGGTCCTACCTCAGTAATGAGCATGCGTGAGGCCATGGTGAGGCGTGTGTGTGTTTGTGTCTGTGTGGTCCTACCTCAGTAATGAGCACGCGTGAGGCCATGGTGAGGCGTGTGCGAGGGGAGAAGTGGCTGGTAATCATGATCCTCATGCTGGCATCAGAGAAGGACAGCTGGTGGGGGTAGGCTGACAGCAACTCATCTACCATCAACACTGACTGCTTTCTGTGGAAGTTAGCTACGAGAGAGCGTGAGAGAAAGAGAGAGAGGGAGAGAGACATGAGGCAAACACACACACACAGACACACATATACAGTGGGGAAAAAAAGTATTTAGTCAGCCACCAATTGTGCAAGTTCTCCCACTTAAAAAGATGAGAGAGGCCTGTAATTTTCATCATAGGTACACGTCAACTATGACAGACCAAATTAGAAAATAAAATCCAGAAAACCACGTTGTAGGATTTTTAATGAATTTATTTGCAAATTATGGTGGAAAATAAGTATTTGGTCAATAACAAAAGTTTCTCAATACTTTGTTATATACCCTTTGTTGGCAATGACACAGGTCAAACGTTTTCTGTAAGTCTTCACAAGGTTTTCACACACTGTTGCTGGTATTTTGGCCCATTCCTCCATGCAGATCTCCTCTAGAGCAGTGATGTTTTGGGGCTGTCGCTGGGCAACACGGACTTTCAACTCCCTCCAAAGATTTTCTATGGGGTTGAGATCTGGAGACTGGCTAGGCCACTCCAGGACCTTGAAATGCTTCTTACGAAGCCACTCCTTCGTTGCCCGGGCGGTGTGTTTGGGATCATTGTCATGCTGAAAGACCCAGCCACGTTTCATCTTCAATGCCCTTGCTGATGGAAGGAGGTTTTCACTCAAAATCTCACGATACATGGCCCCATTCATTCTTTCCTTTACACGGATCCGCCGCTAGAGTCCGGAAGTCCAGGGCGAACTCCTGTGCGCTCCTCTTCCCCTGTCGAAGGTGGAACAGATGCTCCCCCGCCGCTTTACCCTCAGGGGGATGATCGAAAACAGCCCTGAAGCGGCGGGAGAACTCCGCGTAGCTGATGGTGGCGGCGTCTTTTCCCCTCCATTCGGCATTGGCCCACTCCAACGCCTTGCCGGAGAGACAGGAGATGAGGGCGGAAACGCTCTCGTATCCCGAGGGTGCCGGGTGTATGGTTGCCAGGTAGAGCTCCACTTGAAGGAGGAACCCCTGACACCCGGCTGCGGTGCCATCATATGCCCTCGGGAGCGAGAGCCGAATCCCACTGGACTCCGGAGCTGGTATGGTGGGGCTGGCCGATGGTGGTGGTAAGGTAGGAGGAAGTGTGGGCAAGCCTCCTCTCTCCCATCGGCGCAGGGTGTCCATTACTTCTTGCATGGCGGATCCGAGTTGCTGGATCCTGGCGTCCTGGCAGCTGACCCGATCCTCCAGCGACTCGGTTCCCGCCGCTGCTCCTGCTGACTCCATAGTGAAAAGGTGTGTTATTCTGTCAGTGATGTGCTGATGTGGATGCGGTGGTTGAGTCAATCGCAGGACACAGAGGATCAGTCAAGGCGACTTTACTATACTCGTAAATAGACACAAAAGAAACGGCCTCAAACACAGGAGGCGAACAAAATACGCGCAGTGCGTAAAACACTATACAAAGACAAGGCACCGAACCTACAACACACGACATGTAGAACAATAACACACAACTACAAAACATAACACAGGGAAACTTATAGGTGACATAATCATGACAGAATACGAAACAAGTGCACTAAACTAGACATGACAAAACAAACATCGAAAACATCAAACGGTGGCAGCTAGTACTCCGGGGACGACGAACGCCGAAGCCTGCCCGAACAAGGAGGAGGAGCAGCCTCGGCGGTATTCGTGACACTAGGCCACTCCAGGACCTTGAAATGGTTCTTACGAAGCCACTCCTTCGTTGCCCGGGCGGTGTGTTTGGGATCATTGTCATGCTGAAAGACCCAGCCACGTTTCATCTTCAATGCCCTTGCTGATGGCAGGAGGTTTTCACTCAAAATCTCACGATACATGTCCCCATTCATTCTTTCCTTTACACGGATCAGTCGTCCTGGTCCCTTTGCAGAAAAACAGCCCCAAAGCATGATGTTTCCACCCCCATGCTTCACAGTAGGTATGGTGTTCTTTGGATGCAACTCAGCATTCTTTGTCCTCCAAACACGACGAGTTGAGTTTTTACCAAAAAGTTCTATTTTGGTTTCATCTGACCATATGACATTCTCCAAATCCTCTTCTGGATCATCCAAATGCACTCTAGCAAACTTCAGACGGGCCTGGACATGTACTGGCTTAAGCAGGGGGACACGTCTGGCACTGCAGGATTTGAGTCCCTGGCGGCGTAGTGTGTTACTGATGGTAGGCTTTGTTACTTTGGTCCCAGCTCTCTGCAGGTCATTCACTAGGTCCCCCTGTGTGGTTCTGGGATTTTTGCTCACCGTTCTTGTGATCATTTTGACCCCACGGGGTGAGATCTTGCGTGGAGCCCCAGATCGAGGGAGATTATCAGTGGTCTTGTATGTCTTCCATTTCCTAATAATTGCTCCCACAGTTGATTTCTTCAAACCAAGCTGCTTACCTATTGCAGATTCAGTCTTCCCAGCCTGGTGCAGGTCTACAATTTTGTTTCTGGTGTCCTTTGACAGCTCTTTGGTCTTGGCCATAGTGGAGTTTGGAGTGTGACTGTTTGAGGTTGTGGACAGGTGTCTTTTATACTGATAACAAGTTCAAACAGGTGCCATTAATACAGGTAATGAGTGGAGGACAGAGGAGCCTCTTAAAGAAGTTGTTACAGGTCTGTGAGAGCCAGAAATCTTGCTTGTTTGTAGGTGACCAAATACTTATTTTCCACCATAATTTGCAAATCAATTAATAAAAAATCCTACAATGTGATTTTCTGGATTTTTTTCCCTCAATTTGTCTGTCATAGTTGACGTGTACCTATGATGAAAATTACAGGCCTCTCTCATCTTTTTAAGTGGGAGAACTTGCACAATTGGTGGCTGACTAAATACTTTTTTCCCCCACTGTAGCAGAACAGTCAGACCGTACCTTTTTTCAGCAGGACAGCGGTGGCGTCACAATTGTCATCCAGGTCAGCGTTACTGGCTGCGCCGTTCCCCAGGCTGGACGAGTTCTTCTTCCGCCTCTCCAGGAAACGCACAATGTTCGAGTTAAACCTATGCACAGAAACAAACAATGTGACAGTTATACCTAGACAAAGAGGGACAGAACAAGGATGTGGATACAACTTCATACCTCTAATTGTTTTGAAGTGTGTGTATTGATGGTGTCAGACACAGACTTACTTCATTATCAAAATGTAGCCGAAATACATCAGAACCAGTGTCAGAGACTCCCACCTGGAACAAACATCGAGAGGGATTCAATTGAAACTGATTTTTAACAGCTATACAATACAACACATAACGTATGTACTGTATACACAAGAAAGTGAAAGCCATATTTACCATGAAACCTTTTCATCATATATGAACTGTAAGGAGAAAAAGAAGAATGATACTGAACACTTGGAAGAATGACTGGAAGTACAGTAAAAACCATGGTGGTTCACCATTCTCTGATGTTAACAGTGTATGGCTCCACTGTAGTTGCACCATCTGATCAACAGGATGCAACACACTAAAAGCCAATTTATGCTTGCTCCGGAATTGCGATCCGGAGGCTCCATATGGAGGGTCTGACGCAATTGCGGAGCCTCCGGAGGCCAAATTGAGCTCTGTACCGCATCGCCTTGCGCCTCCCAAATGTAACAATGCAGAGGGCTCCGTATAGCTTTGTTTAGCTCCGCATTGACATGATTGGTTGACGGTAGGTGGGGGCGGGAGGTCCTGTGTAAACACAAACTCACTTCCTTGACAACTTCCCTCACAACAGTTCTGCTCTGCTCCACGAAGCGCAAGAAGTATGAATGATCTGACATCTGCGGAGGCCGCATGCTGTACGGCCACTGCAGAAATCGGATTGACCATACAGAGCCTTTAAGGCTCACTTCACTGGTTTGCAATGGTCAGGCTCCACTCACCACTATGAGAGCAGCGATGGACAGGGTGTAGTACACAGAGTCTCTCATAAGAGACCAACGAGACAGATGCACCGCCTGAGAGAGAGAGAGAGAGAGAGAAAGAGAGAAAACATTCAGTAAGAGTGGAACAGACAACATTTTACCCCCAGGTATTCATCCCTTCCGGTGTGTCTGTGTGTGTGTGTGTGTGTGTGTGTGTGTGTGTGTGTGTGTGTGTGCATGCCTGAGCAAGCCAAGGTACAGAAACCTACCTGGCCAGCAAATATTCCACACACTCCGATAATGCAGAGGATATTGAAGACGGCGGAGCCCACAATCGTGCCCACCCCCACATCCCCTTTAGTGATGAACACACCTGCACAGTAACAAATAAAAGACAGAACACCCCTGGGTTATACAATGGTTAGGAATGGAGGGTTACAAGCTTGTACATGTAAAGTATTGACATGGCTAACGTATATCACTCTCACTCATTAAAACATACTGGGACTGCTGATAAAGTAAAACATAAAAACATTTAAAAAGTATGTGTGTCTGTGTGTCTGTACGTCTCACCGATGACAGAGGTGAAGAGTTCAGGAGCTGAGCTGCCGGCTGCCATGAAGGTTGCTCCTGCCACATCCTCACTAAGATGAAGACGCTGAGAGAGACAGAGAGAGAGTGAGAGTGTTAGAGAGAGTAGAAAGCACATCTTCTTATCTGAAAATAAGAATTGTGTGCCTAAAATTCATTCCCGTTGAATTGACCCCGACCCTGTTACAGAATAGTGTATTACATTCTTACCTCGCATATCTTCTCCAGAGAGGGAACAAAGTAGTCATCACACACCAGGGCCAGCGCATAGAACATGTACATGGCCTACAGAGGAATGACACATAACAACGTCAGAACACGCATACCCATATATGAACAAACTCTGTGATCTCAGCAGTGTTCTGGAACCTTTCAGACCCCCATGTGATGCAGTGATAGTGTCCCTTAGCTCAATGTGTCCGTTTTTTCGGAGAAAGTATCCTAAGCTGAGACACACTCTGTGCCAGTGGCCTCGTATGTCAGCTAAGCCTCTATCCAACATCTGGCACCCAAGCCTGCCAGAGAGACACCGCCCTCTTTAGGATGGCTTGGCAACTGTGCCGTGGTGTAAAAAAGTACTGCTTAAGTCGTGTTTTGTGGTATCTGTACTTTACTTTACTATTTATATTCTTGACAACTTTTACTTCACTACATTCCTAAAGAAAATAATGTACTTTTTACTCCATACATTTTCCCTTACACCCAAAAGTACTAGTTACATTTCGAATGCTTAGCAGGACAGAACATTTTTCCAATTCACACACTTATCAAGAGAACATCCCTGGTCATCCCAACTGCCTCTGCTCTGGCGGACTCACTAAACACAAATGCTTCTGTCACGAATTCCGCCGAGACTGCTCCTCCTCCTTGCTCGGGCAGGCTTCGGCGTTCGTCGTCCCCGGAGTACTAGCTACTACCGCTTGATGTATCGATGTTTGTTTGGTCTTGTCTTGTTAGTGCACCTGTTTCGTGTTATGTATTGATTAGGTCACCTATAAGTTTCCTTTAGTTTTGTTTGCAGTTGTGTGTGATTGTCCGCCTGTCCTTTGATGTAAGATATTTGTTCTCATGTTGATAGTGTCTTTACGCACTGTATGCGTAATCGCTCGCCTCCAGTGTTTGAGGCCCGTTTATTTTGTATTGTATTTGTGGACTAGTAAAGTCTTTTTTGACTGAGCTTCTGTGTCCTGCGCCTGACTCCAACACCGCATCCACATCAGCTTGTGACAGAATCACACACCAATACTATGGAGTCAGCAGGAGCAGCGGTGCCGACCGAGTCGCTGGAGGATCGGGTCAGCTGTCAGCATGCCAGGATCCAGCAACTCGGCTCCGCCATGCAGGAGGTGATGAACACCCTGCGCCGATGGGAAAGGGGAGGCGTGCCCACACCTCCTCCTACATTACCACCACCATCGGCCAGCCCCACCAGACCAGCTCCGGAATCCAGTGGGATTCGGCTCTCGCTCCCGAGGGCATATGATGGCACCGCAGCCGGGTGTCAGGGGTTCCTCCTTCAGGTGGAACTCTACCTGGCCACCATACACCCGGCGCCCTCGGGATACGAGAGCGTTTCCGCCCTCATCTCCTGTCTCTCCGGCAAGGCGTTGGAGTGGGCCAACGCCGAATGGAGGGGAATAGACGCCGCCACCATCAGCTACGCAGAGTTCTCCCGCCGCTTCAGGGCTGTATTCGATCACCCTCCTGAGGGTAAAGCGGCGGGGGAGCGTCTGTTCCACCTCCGACAGGGGAAGAGGAGCGCACAGGAGTTCGCCCTGGATTTCCGGACTCTAGTGGCGGATGCGGGGTGGAATGAGAGGGCCCTCATCGACCACTATTGGTGTAGCCTGCGTGAGGACTTTCGTCGAGAGCTGGCCTGCAGGGACACCAATCTGTCCTTCGACCAGCTGGTGGACATGTCCATCCGTCTGGATACCCTGCTGGCCACCCGCAGACATCCCGAGTTGGGGCCATCCATTCCATCCCCCAGCACCTCCGAGCCGAGCCCTATGGAGCTCGGGGGTGCTGGCGCTAGAGAGAGAAGGAGAGAGAACCCGAGGGGGTCCCCTGCACCAACTGTGGCCGTGGAGGACACTCTGCGGCTAGGTGCTGGGGAGGGTCTCCAGGGAATCGGGGCAACAGGTCGCGCACTGGGGAGTCATTTCAGGTGAGTAGGCGCCCCACTCACCCAGAGCTCTCTGTTGTTCACTTGTGTATACCTGTGGTATTTCCTCAGGTTGCATCTCATTCCCAGCATAAGGCGCTAGTCGATTCAGGCGCAGCTGGGAATTTTATTGATCAGAAATGTTGTACTAAGTTAGGGATTCCCCTCCTGCCCGTTGATGCACCCTTCCCTGTCCATGCCCTAGATAGCCGCCCGTTGGGATCTGGGTTGATTAGGGAGGTCACAGCGCCACTAAAGATGAAGACGCAGGGGGGTCATGAGGAGATCATTCAGTTGTACCTGATTGACTCTCCTGCGTATCCCGTGGTGCTGGAGCTTCCTTGGTTAATCACCCATGACCCCACCATTTCGTGGCAACAGAGGGCTCTCAAGGAATGGTCTGACCAGTGTGTTGGGCGATGTTTAGGTGTTTCCGTTGGGGCGACCACGGTGGAGAGTCCGAACCAAGTGCCCGCAATGCACATTCCCCCTGAGTATGAGGATTTGGCATCCAGACAGGTGTGGCACTCCCGCGGAGCCATGTGTATCCTCTGTCTCAAGAGGAGACGGTGGCTATGGAGACATACATAGCTGAGTCCCTGAGACAAGGATACATACGGTCCTCCACTTCCCCTGCGTCCTCGAGTTTCTTTTTTGTGAAGAAGAAGGACGGAGGGTTGCGCCTGTGTATTGATTACCGTAGTCTCAATCAGATCACTGTTAAATACAGTTACCCTCTTCCTCTGATTGCGAGTATGACTGAATCATTGCACAGAGCGCCTTTCTTCACAAAACTGGATCTCAGGAGCGCCTATAACTTGGTGCGCATTAGGGAGGGAGATGAATGGAAGACGGCATTTAGTACCACCTCAGGTCATTATGAGTATCTCGTCATGCCATACGGGTTAATGAATGCTCCTTCAGTCTTCCAATCATTTGTGGACGAGATCTTCCGGGACCTGCATGGGCAGGGTGTGGTAGTGTACATTGACGACATCCTAGTGTACTCTTCTACACGAGCCGAGCATGTAGCCCTGGTGTGCCGAGTGTTGGGTAGGCTGTTGGAGCATGACTTGTATGTCAAGGCAGAGAAATGTCTGTTTTTCCAGGAGTCCATCTCCTTCTTGGGTCATCAGTTGTCCGCGTCAGGGGTGAAGATGGAGATTGACCGTGTGTCAGCCGTGCGTAACTGGCAAACCCCAACCACTGTTAAAGAGGTGCAGCAGTTTTTGGGGGTTTGCCAATTACTACCGGAGGTTTATCCGGGGTTTTGGACAGGTAGCAGCTCCCATTACTTCCCTGCTGAAGGGGGGCCCGGTGCGTTTGCAGTGGTCGGCTGAAGCGGACAGGGCGTTTGGTAAACTGAAGGTCCTGTTCACTTCGGCTCCGGTGCTGGCGCACCCGGACCCCGCTTTAGCGTTCCAGGTAGAGGTGGACGCGTCAGAGGCCGGGATTGGGGCAGTACTGTCGCAACGCTCAGGCACGCCTCCTAAGCTCCGTCCCTGCGCTTTTTATTCTAAAAAGCTCAGCCCGGCGGAACGTAATTATGACGTAGGGGACAGGGAGCTGTTAGCCGTGGTTCAAGCTCTAAAGGTGTGGAGGCATTGGCTTGAGGGGGCTCAACACCCTTTTTTTCTAAAATTCTGACTGATCACCGTAACCTGGAGTACATCCGGGCAGCTAGGAGATTGAACCCTCGTCAGGCTAGGTGGAACATGTTTCTGACCCGGTTTGTGTTTAAGATAACCTACATCCCAGGGTCCCAGAACGGTAAGGCAGACGCCCTGTCCAGGCGGTATGACACAGAGGAGAGGTCCGTTGAGCCCACTCCCATAATGCCGGAGTCTTGTCTGGTGGCACCGGTGGTATGGGAGGTCGATACGGAAATTGAGCGGGCGTTACGCACCGACCCTACTCCCCCAGAGTGTCCAGTGGGTCGGACGTACGTGCCGCTCGAGGTCCGTGATCGTCTCATTTATTGGGCTCATACGTCACCCTCCTCTGGACATCCAGGTATTGGCCGGACAGTGCACTGCCTTAGTGTGAAGTACTGGTGGCCAACATTGGCTAGGGACGTGAGTGTTTATGTCTCCTCCTGCTCAGTGTGCGCTCAGTGTAAGGCGCCTAGACACCTGCCTAGGGGGAAGTTACAACCCCTGCCCGTTCCACAACGGCCGTGGTCTCACCTCTCGGTGGACTTTGTTACGGACCTTCCCCCCTCTCAGGGGAATACCACTATTCTGGTCGTTGTGGATCGGTTCTCTAAGGCCTGTCGTCTCATCCCAATGCCGGGTCTCCCTACTGCCCTACAGACTGCTGAGGCTTTGTTTACCCACGTCTTCCGGCACTACGGGGTTCCCGAGGATATAGTGTCTGATCGGGGTCCCCAATTCACCTCTAGAGTCTGGAGGGCGTTCATGGAACGCTTGGGGGTCTCGGTTAGCCTTACCTCGGGGTTCCACCCTGAGAGTAATGGGCAGGTGGAGAGAGTGAACCAGGATGTGGGTAGGTTTCTGAGATCATATTGCCAGGGCCGGCAGGAGGAGTGGTCGGGGTATATCCCCTGGGCAGAGATGGCTCAGAACTCTCTTCGCCACTCCTCTATTAACCTGACCCCTTTCCAGTGTGTGTTAGGGTATCAGCCGGTTCTGGCACCATGGCATCAGAGCCAGATCGAGGCTCCTGCGGTGGATGAATGGTTTCGGCGCTCGGAGGAGACGTGGAACGCTGCACACGTCCATCTGCAGCGGGCCATCCGTCGGCAGAAGGCGAGCGCCGATCTCCACCGCAGTGAGGGTCCAGTATACGCCCCTGGAGATCGAGTCTGGCTCTCGACTCGAAACCTGCCCCTTCGCCTGCCCTGCCGGAAGCTGGGTCGGCGGTTTGTGGGGCCATTCAAAGTCCTGAGGAGATTGAACGAGGTTTGCTACAAGTTACAACTGCCTAATGATTATCACATTAACCCCTCGTTCCATGCGTCTCTCCTCAGACCGGTGGTAGCTGGTCCACTCCAGGACTATGAGATAAGAGAGACTCCTCCGCCCCCACTGGACATCGAGGGGGCTCCGGCGTACTCGGTCCGGTCCATCGTGGATTCGAGACGTCGGATGGGGGGTCTACAATATCTCGTGGAGTGGGAGGGGTACGGCCCGGAGGAACGGTGCTGGGTGCCTAGGAGGGACATTTTAGATCCATCCCTCCTGACTGAGTTCCACCGTAGTCATCCCACGCGCCCTGCTCCGCGTCCTCCTGGCCGTCCCCGAGCCCGGGGTCAGCGCACGGCTGGAGCCGCGCGTCAAGGGGGGGGTACTGTCATGAATTCCGCCGAGACTGCTCCTCCTCCTTGCTCGGGCAGGCTTCGGCGTTCGTCGTCCCCGGAGTACTAGTTACTACCGCTTGATGTATCGATGTTTGTTTGGTCTTGTCTTGTTAGTGCACCTGTTTCGTGTTATGTATCGATTAGGTCACCTATACGTTTCCTTTAGTTTTGTTTGCAGTTGTGTATGATTGTCCGCCTGTCCTTTTGTCACGCTCTGGCTCCGGGACTTTGTGTGTTGAGCCAGGGTGTGTTCGTTTCGTGGTGTTTTGTTTGGTTGGGTGGTTCTATGTGTTGTATTTCTTTGTTTGGTTGAGTGACTCCCAATCAGAGGTAACGAGTGTCAGCTGTTGGCTCGTTGTCTCTGATTGGGAGCCATATTTATACTGTCTGTTTTCACCTTGTGTTGGTGGGTTTTTGTTCCTGTTCAGTCATTGTCACTTTTGGACTTCACGTATCGTCATTTGGTTTTGTTGTTTTCGTGGTTGCTTTATTTAATAAAGTCAACATGTTCGCTACAAACGCTGCGCTTTGGTCCACTCCTTCCTTAGACGATCGTGACAGAAAAACCCACCAAGATGGGACCAAGCAGTGTGTTCAGGAGCCATCGCCAGGGAGATCCCTCACAGATCTCCTTCGCCTCCTGGACTGGGTCAAGCCGAGGGAGGAAGACAAGGGCTTGACGTTATGGCAGAAAGGCGAGAAGCTGGCGAGGGATATGGAGAAGTGGTCCACGGGTAGGAGAGACGCCCCGAAAATTTTTAGGGGGGGGCTCACGACGGCGGACCAGCAGGAGGCCGCGATAGAGCGGTCCAGTGGGTTGCCGGAGAAGGCCGCCGGGTTACGGGGGCCACTGGTAGAAGAGGGGATGGAAGGTGTGGAGGCACGGCGAGAGGTACTGGCGTGTGTTGCCAGTCCGGTCCGGCCCGTTCCAGAGCCCGGTGTAGAGCCAGTGGTGTGTGTCCCCAGTACGGTCCGGTCTATTCCTGCTCCCCGCATCGAACCTGCGGTGCGCGTCGCCAGCCCAGCCCGGCCCATTCCTGCTCCCCGCATCAAGTCTGTGGTGCGTCTCGTCAGTCCGGCTCTGCCCATTCCTGCTCCCCGCGTCAAGTCTGTGGTGCGTCTCGTCAGCCCGGCTCTGCCCGTTCCTGCTCTCCGCGCCAAGTCTGTGGTGCGCGTCGCCAGCCCTGTCCGGCCCGTTTCTGCTCTCCGCACCAGGTCTGTGGTGCGCGTCGCCAGCCCAGTCCGGCCCATCCAAGCTCCCCGCACCAGGTCAGTGGTGCGCGTCGTCAGCCCGGTCCGGCTCAGTCCTGCTCCCCGCACCAGGTCAGTGGTGCGCGTCGTCAGCCTGGTCCAGCCCGTTCCTGCTACTCGCACCAAACCAGGGATGCGAGTCGTCAGCCTGGTCCAGCTCGTTCCTCCTACACGCACCAAGCCAGGGGCGCGTGTCGTCAGTCCGGCTCCGACCAGCGGGGCTAGACAGGACCAGGGGTACTTTGGGGGGTTGAAGAGGAGGTGGGGATCAGGGCCGGAGCCAGAACCACCGCCGAGGAGGTACGCCCACCCAGCCCTCCCTTGTTTAGCCTTATTGAGGCGCGGTCGCAGTCCGCGCCTTTAGGGGGGGGTACTGTCACGCTCTGGCTCCGGGACTTTGTGTGTTGAGCCAGGGTGTGTTCGTTTCGTGGTGTTTTGTTTGGTTGGGTGGTTCTATGTGTTGTATTTCTTTGTTTGGTTGAGTGACTCCCAATCAGAGGTAACGAGTGTCAGCTGTTGGCTCGTTGTCTCTGATTGGGAGCCATATTTATACTGTCTGTTTTCACCTTGTGTTGGTGGGTTTTTGTTCCTGTTCAGTCATTGTCACTTTTGGACTTCACGTATCGTCATTTGGTTTTGTTGTTTTCGTGGTTGCTTTATTTAATAAAGTCAACATGTTCGCTACAAACGCTGCGCTTTGGTCCACTCCTTCCTTAGACGATCGTGACACCTTTGATGTAAGATATTTGTTCTCATGTTGATAGTGTCTTTATGCACTGTATGCGTAATCGCTCGCCTCCAGTGTTTGAGGCCCGTTTATTTTGTATTGTATTTGTGGACTAGTAAAGTCTTTTTTGACTGAGCTTCTGTGTCCTGCGCCTGACTCCAACACCGCATCCACATCAGCTTGTGACAGCTTCGTTTGTAAATTATGTCAGAGTGTTGGAGTGTGCGCCTGGCTATCCGTAAAATAATCAAACAAGAAAATCGTGCCATCTGGTTTGCTTAATATAAGGAATGTGAAATGATTTATACTTTTACTTTTGATACTTAAGTATATTTTAGCAATTACATATACCTTTGATACTTACGTATATATAAAACCAAATACTTTTAGACTTTTCCTCAAGTAGTATGTTACTGGGTGACTTTCACTTTTACTTGAGTCATTTTCTATTAAGGTATCTTTACTTTTACTCAAGTATGACAATTGGGTACGTTTTCCACCACTGCAACTGTGTTAAAGACACTATCCTGCTTTTCAATGCATTGCATCACACGGTCAGTGGCAGGTAGCCATTGTGTAGAGTAGATAGTGTGTTGGTGTGTGTTGAGTGTAGAACAGTCACTCACAAACAGGACATGTAAGGCCACTGCTCCCTCTGTGCGCTCCTGGTTGGTGAACAGGTCTGTGGGGAACTCATGTAGCGCTGGAGAGAAAACACACACACAGAAAACACACACACACAATATTACTAAACAGGGAGAAACTCTGTGTCATTTAGTGCAGCAGAGACATGTGTAGTGGCACTATCGTACACAGTCCATTTGAGTGACAGGACCTAAAAATAGCCTTGCCATGAGTGTGTGTGTGTGTGTGTTGATGGCTGCCCAATGTGCGGTGACATTTTCCCTCTGAACACCCAAGAGGTTGTGTGAGTCAGCGAGCTTCAGCCTGCCCTCAGTGCCGAACACAACACAGCCATTTCAACTCATAAGAACTGACAAGGCCCCAGAGAGAGAGAGAAAGAGGGAGAGAGAGAGAGAGAGAGAGAGAGAGAGAGAGAGAGAGAGAGAGAGAGAGAGAGAGAGAGAGAGAGAGAGAGAGAGAGAGAGATAGGCGGGTAGAGTTAGAGAAATAGAGATTGGAGAGAAACAGAGGGGGTTGAGAAGAGAGCGAGAGAGAGAGTGAGCGAATGCGAGATGGAGGGAGAGGAGAAAGGGTGAGTGGGTGAGGATGTGCGAATTGTGTAGGGTTGTAAGACATATCTTCGTGTTGGATTTTTCAATGGCCTCATCCCTTAGCAAGTGTATAATATCTCCCTACCTCCCTCCAATTTTACATTCCCATTTTAATCATTTAACAGACACTATTATCCAGAGTGGCTTTCAAAGAGTGTGTTCCAGTAAGCTGAATTAACTACATAGTACAATCATGGTTGAAAACCTTGCTTCAAAACCCTCCATCCCTTCCTCCCACCATCCCTTTAGTACAGTACATAGACATTCTCCCAGTAGGCACTACTGTACCATTCAGTTGGCAGGTCAGCAACACACTGGAATGCATTTCACACTGTGGCTCTGCAGCCAAAGCAACCAGTGCCAGGGCTAGTGCCCACTCTGTGTCCAGTGCTACCCATACAGGGCAATCACTCAGGGAGCCACTCACCCAACCAACCCTGCTGCCAACAGCGCAACTAGCAAGTAAGTGGGTTCACTACACAAAGCTCCACACACAGGTACACACACACGGTGCGAGTAATTACAAATACCTCAACCACACTCCAACCAACAACAAACAAATAATGACATCAACAACAACAAACCCCAAAACAACAGCTGGCAAGATGCTTAGGTAAACAAGATGGCTCCCTTCCCCAATACTGAGAGGAATGTTGTGTTGGATTTCACTTGAACTTAGTTCAGTTCAGTGATTCTTGGTAGTGGCCAGGGTTGGGGTCAATTCCGTCCATGAATCAACTGAATAAAGGCCTCAGATTGTGTCATGTTTTGGGGCATCTTTTACCGTGTCCTTCATTCTCCCTAGTCTTACCACTGCATAGAGAGGATCTTTCAGTATGGCCCTTTGCACTTCGTTTTGAAGCAGTATGAAAGCAGACACATACATATTTTACACACAAGGTTTGAATCCTAAATTAAAAAAAATACATGGAACCAATGTAGGATTTACATAAACTTACATATCCATTTCCCAGCTGGATTAAGCCCTAAGAGGTGTGAGTGTGCAGGGTTGGAGAAGAGAGCGTGTGTGGAGGGCTGGATAGGAGAGGGGGCCAGTCTGACAGGTCATGCACACAGAGACTTGTCTCTCCTCAGCCTGGCACCGGAAGAAAACACCCCTGCAGGAAGGACAAAGCTCCACGTCCACATACATTACAGTAACTACTGACCGAGACCCCCCCCGCCCCCTGTGTAAAAAGTTATTGTTACCATGGCGATGAGGTCACACACACACACACACCCCGCAAGTAATCTCATCATAGATTCTGTGAATATTATTCTGATGCCACAGTAATAGCTTTCAGTGCCATGTCCCTTACTTGGCATCCTCATTTTTCAATCCCTACGCTAAAGTCTACTCAATGTCCTGTCAGACGGCTCAAAACAATATGCTTTTGGCTGCATAAACCATTGCTGGAAATACATAATCAATTTTACTGTACATACTGCAACAGTCTGGCTAAGTGCATTGTGCCATACTGGAAAAAGCTTGATCCTCTGGTATGTCGTGGTAAGGCTATGGAGAATGACATGGTATTAGGACAACACAAAGTGCTGTAAGGGCTGTTAGAGGAGCTACAGTATCTGCTCTTACAAACCGTTAGAGAGGTAGGATACGACTTGGTTTTACTCTAAAGCACATTGCACATAGTAGCTAGAACGAGATAAATGCACACGCACCCCGGCCTCTCTCATGGCACGAGGGTTACTATAACCAAGGGTCAAAGAGCAATCGATTCCTTTGACGGTTCCCTCAGACTCCTGTAAAAAGTCATCTGGAAAGCTTTTTCATTTGAACGCATAATTACAATCCAATACATTGAGGCTTAAGAGGTGATTGTAGTTATTGTATAGTTTAAGACTGTTGAACACCTCTTTAGTTTATTGCATTGTCAAGCTAGAAGTCAATCATTTCAGTCCCTCAATCGATTTCTTCTGAAGGTTTCAGGCAAGGTTAAATATATATTGAACAAAAACATAAAACACAACACGCAACAATTTCAAAGATTTGACTGAGTTACAGTTCATATGAGGAAATCAGTCAATTGAAATCAATTCATTAGGCCCTAATCTATGGATTTCATTTCACATGACTGGGAATTCAGATATGCATCGGTTGGTCACAGATGCCTTAAAAGAAATGGGCCTCACAATGGGCCTCAGGATCTCGTCATGGTATCTCTGTGCATTCAAATTGCCATCGATTACAATGCAATTGTGTTCGTTGTCCGTAGCTTATGCCTGCCCATACCATAACCCCACCGCCACCATGGGGCACTCTGTTCACAACGTTGACATCAACAAACTGCTAGCCCACATGATGCCATATACGTTGTCTGCGGTTGTGAGGCCAGCTGGACATACTGCCAAATTCTCTAAAATGACATTGGAGGTGGCTTATGGTAGACAAATGAACATTCCATTCTCTGGCAACAGCTCTGGTAGACATTCCTGCACGCTCCCTCAAAACATGAGACATCTGTGGCATTGTGTTGTGTGACAAAACTGCACATTTTATAGTGGTCTTTTATTGTCCCCAGCACAAGGTGCACCCGTGTAATGATCATGCTGTTTAATCAGCTTCTTGATATGCCACACTTGTCAGGTGGATGGATTATCTTGGCAAAGGAGAAATGCTCACTAACAGGGATGTAAACAGATTTGTGCACAACATTTGAGAGAAATAAGCTTTCTGTGCGTATGGAACATTTTGAGGATCTTTTATTTCAGCTCATGAAACATGGGACCAACACTTTACATGTTGCGTTTATATTTTTGTTCAGTGTAAGTAAAAAAATAAGCCAACACCTCTGATAGGGCTTTGTGTTGTGTTGTGTGTGAGGGGTTTTAATCAGTGATAACTTTAATCCATGGGATAGTATGTGAAGTTAAGATAACCTGTCACTTCTGTGTGACATCACAGTGTGGATGGTGTGTCAAATCCCTGACTTTGAAATCTGGACTGGATCAGGCAGGATTGAACTGAGCTATGATGGCTTGCTGGGGGCAGAGGGTTGCAAAGGAACAACAGAGACTTGACTACTCTCTCTCTCTTCTTACATAAGCATCACAATCATTACATAAGGCGGTGTGTTGGAGAGAGATAGAGAGGCGAGTCCTCCAAATTCTCTGCATCATTACAGAGATCTCAGGAGGTTTGAAAACAGTAAAAAAGACCACACTGATGGTTTTCACCCTGTGGTATGGTTTGTTTACCTTCGTGATGGGAATATAGAGGTGTATTGTTAGAGAGAGAACAGAGCTAGCTGTTTTCCGTGTCTCACAGAACGCATCACACCTATTTATAGTTTATTTATTTAGGGGGAAGCACATTGGATTGCACATACTTTGTTTTAAATGTGCTATATGAATACAGATTGTGCCTGAAAGCCCAAATCACTCACACACACACACACACACACACACACACACACACACACACACACACACACGTGCCAGGGTACGCTGGATCAAGTGTATGCATATGTGTGCGTGTTGCATTAGCCTTGTCATACAGTGTTGTATGTGGCTTTTGAAGCTCATCTTTAATGTGAATAAAATAAGCATCATCTGTGTCCAGCAGCTTTAGAAGCACAAATCCAGCACTCTTCTTTGAAACACTCTAGTTACTGACCTCTATGACACCCACTGAGTGCTGTGAGGTCCTTAGGCTCGCAGATGGGACAAAAGCGAGCGCCAACAAAGAAATAGCCAAGGTAGTTGAACTAAGGCAGCCGTGCCACACACACACACACACACACACACACACACACACACACACACACACACACACACACACACCGAAATGAACAGTCACCCTCGAAAAGGGATCAAAGTCTCCTACCCTTTACATTTTCCACCTCTCCATAGTGCTCCTGAAAACATGTGTACACGGAAACATGTGGTTGCATTTCATTTTCACCACGTGCTTAAAAACAACTGGGTGGCATTACCTAATGTGTCGGACATTCATCTAATTGTGCAGAAATGGGAAGAAAAAGGGGAAAGAGTTAGTGAGTTTAGTGATGGTGTGTTCTCTAGTTGTGACATTAGGATATGAGCCTGATGTGATGAGTGTGATGGAAGGAGTCAGGCGCAGGAGGGTAATCACCGAATACAGAGTTTATTCCGTCTTTACACACAAATGCGCTGGAATAGCGACAAACGAAACAGGCACAGGGGAAACTATCATCCCTGGCAATACACTGTAACGGTAGATCCAACAATACATAGGCACAGGGGAAATATCTACCCTGGCAACAAAATGGTACGAGTAGCAACACCGAGCTCCACTACTCTCACAATTAAACAATCACCCACAAAGACAAGGGGGCAGAGGGAACACTTATACACGGACTAACGAGGGGATAAGAACCAGGTGTGTGTAATGACAAGACAAGAATATTGGAGCGGCAGTGGTTGGTAAGCCGGTGACGACGAGCGCCGAAGCCTGCCCGAACAAGGAGGGGAGGCAGCCTCGGCGGAAGTCGTGACACCTGATCATCCCTCAGGAATGGAAAGGAATTCAATGAGAGTAAAGGGGAGAGGAGGAATAGCCACACAGGTTGAGTAGCCTCCAGGCTCTACCACTCTGTAAAGTGCTCCTATGAATGTCTCCAGCTACGAGCTGCAATTAGCACCAGGGGTGGCTCTGAGAGAGGGTGAGATGGTTAATCTTAGCCCACCTCCGAGCTCCTCTGGCTGGGTTACTGACCTCGCACAACCCTGCTCACTAACTCAGATATCCAGAGCCCCAGACCATACCAAAACCACCACTCCTCAATTAGCTTCTGTCAATCATTTAGTCACTCATTGAATGCAGTGGGCAGCTATCGTTTTTATATTCTTTACCCAGCAAATAAGAAACAATGGATGGTAATCTCTCATGTGTGAGATTTTCAAATAATATAACCCCCGTTTTCCTGGAACGAATTAAAGCAAGTGTGTGATTCAATGGTTTAGTTTTTCTATTAATTGTTTTGTTTGCATATGCTGCAAAATTAATTTCCTCATTGAGGTTAATAACATTTGTGATCTAATCTAATCTACAGTATACCAGGCTCAACACCATATGTATCTAACGTTCCACACTCATTATGATTCACTTCTCCACGTCTTCCTTAATAGAACAGCTAACATCTAAATTAGAGTAGTGCGTCATACAACTTTTAACACAACCATAACCCCAGAGTTCAATCTCTCAGTCAATTATCAGCGTCTCCGTGGCGACAGGTTTACGGCTACAGCCCGCTCATGCGCCACAGCCTGAAATAGGCACTTCTCCTCGTCAGAAGTTACAGCGTTCCGGTCTCCAAGGAGGCTTGTTCCCTGGAGACGTCATATTCATGGAACGCGGCTATTTCCGACTCAGAGAGGAGAGAAAATAAATCATGCAATACAGGGATCAGGTCAGCAGCAGTGCACCAGGTGGGAGTGTGTGTGTGTGCGTGCGTGCGTGCGTGCGTGCATGAGAGAGAGTGTGAGAGAGAGTGTGAGAGAGTGAGTGAGAGAGAGAGAGTGAGAGAGAGTGAGGGAGAAAGAGAGAGCGAGGGAGCAAGAGAGAGCGAGAGAACGAGAGAGCGAGAGAACAAAAGGGAGCGAGCGCGAGAGAGAGCGAGCACGAGAGTGAGCGAGCACGAGAGTGACAGAGAGTGAGAGAGCGACAGAGAGCGAGAGAGAGACAGAGAGCGAGAAAGAGAGCGAGAGAAAGGGATTGAGTCTGTATCTGTGTGCACGGGCTTGTGTGCGTGTGAGGAAACAGGTCGACTGTGTGAGGGAGCGGAGAATGCGCTTGGTTAGGGGGACCAGCAACCAGCGAAAGGTTACATGGTAATGCTGCCATTTAAACAGAGCGCCAGACAATGTGCGCAGAAAGAAATCATGGTGCTGAGATCGCTCCACTGACCTAGGCCACAGGAACAGAGTTGAAGAGTGCAGTCTCAAAGAAAGTCACTGCTAAATGCTGTTGCTCAGTGGTGTGATGAGGATGTCTTTATGGAAAGCTACCAGGTATCTGTAGCAGTATTCCACTGAGTTATTCCCAGACAGGGCACACAGGTCCCCTGACAAAACATTATAGGATGCAAACACTATAGATTTTCTCAAGTGCTAATTGCATGATTTAGTTGTCCTTAGTAGGATACATTGCTTGTGGTTTAATGCAGGTGAGTGACGTCACCAGCATACCCGTGGTCTCTCTTGTTTAAGTAATGATAGAGGAAACACTGCTCTATGATCTAACTATCTAAATTCAGAATACATCCCACAGTATTGTGCTACAATGTAGGATCAAGGGCGTCTAAATTAAAGTGTGTAAATTATAAACGCATGAC